ACAACTAAATGTGGAGCTGGAAAAGAACAGCCAGTCAGACAGCATCCAAGGAGCAGGGAAGTCAACATTTCAAGCCAAAGCATTGACTTTCCTGCTCCTCAGATGCTGTCTGACTGGCTGTTCTTTTCCAGCTCCACATTTATTGACTCCTGCTTCCAGCATCTGCAGTCCTTACTGTCTCCAACTTCCACAACTACCTTGATTACACTTCCTCACACCCACCCTCCAGCAAAAATGCTATCCCATACTCCCAACTCCTCCACCTCTGGCGCATCTGCTCTCAGGATAATGTATACTACTCCAGGACATCCCAGAAATTCTCCTACATTAGGGAAAGTAACTTCTCCATCTCTTTAATTAAGGATGCCTGACCTGCATCTCCTCCATTTCCCGCACTTCTACCCTCAAACCTCCCCCGCCTCCAAGAACAAGGATAGAGTCTCGCCACCAACTTCTCCACCACACCTGGTATCTTTCCCTGCAACCGCAAGAGATGCAACACCTGCCCCTACACCTCCCCTGTCACGTCCATCCAAGGCCCCAAACAATCTTTCCAGATACGGCAGAGATTCACCTGCACTGCATCTTACCTGATCTACTGTATCTGTTGCTCCTGATGTGGTCTCCTCTATATTGGGGAGACCAAATGCAGATTCAGGGACTGGTTCGTGGACCATCTGCACTCTGCACGCATCAACCAACCCAACCTTCCGGTTGCCATCTGTTTTAATTTCCCCTCCCACTCCCCTGACGATATGTCCATCCTTGGCCTCCTCCACTGTCAGTGGGAGGCAAAATGTAAACTGGAGGAACAACCCCTGATATTTCACCTTGGGAGCTGACAGCCCAATGGCCTCAGCATTGACTTCACAAGGTTCAAAATCCCTCCACTCCCAGCCTTATCCCATGTCCAGTCCTCCCCCTCCTCCACACCTTCCTGAGCTGACCTAACCTGTCCATCTTGCTACTCACCTGTTCACTCCACCCTTCCCGTGGAACAATCAGATTACCCCCTACCCGCATCCACCCATCACCATCTCTCCTACCATTTCTCCAACCCCACCCTCCCATCCTTCTATTTATTTCTAGGCTCCCTGCCTCAGTACTGACTAAGGGTTTCAGCCAAAAGTGTTGACTTTGCTGCTCCTCAGATGCTTTCTGACGTGCTGTGCTTTTTCAGCCTCACACCTGCAGACCCTCAGTGAAGGATTTTAAAAAAACAGGCTCTCATTTCTCAGTGAAGAAATTAAAGATACAGGCCCTCATTCTCAGTGAAGGATCTAAAGAGACATATCTGATTTCCCAGTGAAGAATTTAAAGATACAGGCCCACATTACCAGTAAAAGATTTAAAGAGAAAGGCCCCAATTTCCCAGTAAATGATATAAAGAGACAGACCCGCTTTCCCAGTGAATGATTTAAAGAGACAGCTTCCCCCCGCACCCCCCCTCCGACCTTTCCTAGTGAAGGGTAGAAAGATACAGGCCCCAACATTTCCTGAGAAGTATTTAATATACAGGCCCTAATTCTCAGTGAAAAATTTAAGGAGAAAGGCCCCACCATTCCCAGGGAAGATTTAATGAGAAAGGATCGGTCTTTTCCAGTGAAGGACTTAACGATATAGGCCCCAACATTTCCTGTGACGGATTTAAAGAAGCATACCCCATTTGCAGAGATGGATTTAAAGAGACAAGGCCCAATTTCCCAGTGAAGGATTTAATGATATAGGCCTTCATTCTTAATGGCAGATTTAAAGAGGTAGGCCTCAATTACCAGTGAAACATTTAAAGAGACAGGCCCCAATTGCCCAGTGAAGGATTTAATGAGACAGGTCATGTTTCCTGGTGAAGGATTTGAAGAGAAAGGTCTTCATTCTCAGGGAAGGATTTCAAGAGACAGGCCCCCTTTCCGAGTGTATGATTTAATGAGATAGGTCCTCATTTCCCAATGAAGCGTTTAAGCAGACTGCCTCCCGTCTCCTTTTCCCACTGAACTATTTAAACAGACAGGTCCTCTTATTTCCATTGTTACAACTGACTGGGTAGTGTATTATAAACTGAGACTTGCTATTCCCAGAGTCATATCAAATGTTATAGTTTAATTTGAAGAATACACAGTACCCCAATTTACCTGAGTTCCAGATCAAGTTTAATAGAAGACACAGGCAATGTTTCTGTATTAAACAAGAATTGTTATTTATCATAAATAGTTAGACTATAGCTACAAAAAAACATGCATAAACCAGTGAAATATAACACTACTAACTAAAACTCTAATCTCCTTATAACTGCTGCCACCCCTACCCCCTTATACACACACATAAACAGACAAAGAAGTAGGCAAAATAGATTCAGAGATAGTAGGAATTGCAGATCCTGGAAAATCCGAGACAACAAGGTGCAGAGCTGGCTGAACACAGCAGGCCAAGCAGTATCATAGGAGCAGGAAAGCTGACATTTCGGACCTAGACCCTTCATCAGAAAAGATTATTGGCAATGGTTGAAAAACCCATAGACAGACAAACAGTGTTTACAATAAGAATCTAATTCCCTACTGTGAAATTATGCAGCCATCCTGGTAAATCTCAGTTTATAAAAGCAGTTC